TATATTAAATTATAAGAAATATATTATTAATAACTTTAATATATTTCTTATAACTTAAATATTTAATATTTTATACTTAAGTTATAGGGTAATACTATAAATATTATTATTTTATAAGATATTTATATATAAATAATAGAAATTTTTAATTTTATTATATTTAATATATTTTACTTATAATAATAATATAAAAATAATACTAATTTACTTAATATAATTCCCTTATAATTCCCTTTTATTTTATTTTTATTTTATTTTTATTAGTTTTTTAATCCCTGTTTTTAGCTTATTTAAGCTAGCTAATCCCTACTTATTAATACTAATATTAGTAAGCAAATTTAGCTCTATTTTAGCTTACTAATTATATTAGCTAATAATAGCTTATAAATTAATTAATACTACATATTACACTAATTTTTAAAATGTAATGTAGTGTAGTAAAACTACACTACACTACACTACACTAAAATTCACTAAAAACTACAAAACTACACTACTTTTAATGCTCTGTTACAGCCTAGCACCTGATACAGGTCTGTTATAGAGGTTACGAAAGGGTATTTTTCGTGTTATAGAAGGGTTACACGCTAATACTAGCTAAAATACAACTAAAATAACCTTACTAGCCTAACTAAATATAGTTAAATATTTAAAAACTAAATATCTAATATCTTTTAATATTCTAGTTATATATAAAGGTAAAATTCTTGTGTAAATTAAGAAACGCGCGTAATAAAATTTAAAATTATTTTAAGGTAAAAGTAAAAATAAAAATTATAAAGAATAAGAAGAAAATATTATAAGAGAATTAATTTATACTTAACTTATATTACTCTTATAAAGTAATAAAAATAAATAATATAAAAGGTAAAAAGAGAGTATAATACGCCTTATATAACTATTAACTAGGTACTTAAAGGGCTTAAGCGAGTAAGAGAATATATTATAAGCTTAAGTTAATAGCTTAAGCTTAAATTAGTAATTACGGTAGTAGAAGAGACGTAACAGACTGCGAAAGCTTATAAGACGTGGGCCTAAGCTTATAATAAGCTAGAAGAACCCCCTTTGTTATGTGAGCTGATTAGTTATAATATTAGCTAATTTATGTATTTATTATTATAATTCAAGTATTTTATTTAATTTATTATTAAATATTTAAGCTTTTTTAAAAATTAAAAATGTAGTTTTCTTGTCAATGCTCTGCGTGGGCTAAAGGCGAGGTTAAAAGGGCGCTTCAGTCAAGCGTTACGGCGCATAATCATGCCAAAAGAGCCGAGAAAGAAATGAGCTCAGCGGTCAATAAGGAGAGGGAGTCATACCACGCCAGAGAAGTAGTAGAAGGGCGAGCTGAAGATGCAGAACAGGCCCGACACGAAGCTGAGAAGCGAGCCGATAATGCAGAACAGACTCGACAGGAAGCTAAGAAGCGAGCTAAAGATGCAGAATAGGCCCGATAGGAAAAGGAGAGGCGCGCTAAAGAAGTAGACCGAGTAAGGCTTAAAGCTGAGAAAGCTAAAGCATTAGCGGAAAAACATAAAGAGGAGAAAGAAATCAAGTATGGATAATTACGTTGATAAGGCAAGCAGAGGCGCGGGCAGAAAAGGCAAAAGCAGACCTAGCATTAGCAATTGAGAGCGAGAAAGAGGTTAAACGGCAGCTTAACACGGTAGCTCCCGTTCGCTATGCGATTAAACCAGCTATCTCGCTTAAGCGATAAAAGAAGGGGCCTTTTATTTCAAATAAAAGATCACGCCTATTAAAATTAGCCGCATATAATAGAACAAGGCTCTAGAGCCTAGAGATAACGTGGTATAACGAGCGACTATAATATTTAGCGTATAATCTTAACTAAGTAATTAATAATTAGGGAGTAAAAGAAGTGAGATATACTTATTTTACGTTTAATATTAACTTAATTTAAGTTAATAAAGTAAAGAAAAATTATAAGATTATTAAATCTTCTTATCTTATTAAATATATTTATTATATTAAAGAAATTATAGTTATAATTTTTAATATTATATTCTTAACGCGTAAGGTCTATTTAATAAATCTAGATCTTAAAGCCGCTAAGAAGCTATTACACGCTAATATAACTAAAACCGTATTTAAACGGCACGCCTAAAAATTTAAGTGGGCGAGGAGACTAAACGAGTCACGCTATTCCTATTAAGAAATCTTGTAAATATCCTTAATAAAGTTACAGAGGTTTATCATGTCAAAGTGCTATCATAGTTAGCGTGTGAAGCGAGAGAATCTAAGCCATTTCTATTGTATTCGTTATCAGACTCGGAGACGGCAAAAAATTTAAGGACCCTGTTACTTGATTTATATTAACGACGAGGGCTATAATATCGTCCGAAAGCGCTTCCACTAAAGATTCTACAGATATTAGTGTATGTCAAGAACGTGATAGGCAGAAAAAAGTAAGGCTAAGGGCTGAAGTCATTAAGGGCTTGCCCGATTGGTACTCTATAATAAGAGAAGAGGTCGCGGGCAAATACATTAAACGGGTGTAGGAGGAAGCCTCTACGCGAGGCGACGTGATTATTACAGGCAAGTAATATTAGAACACCTATTTTAGGATTATGACTAACAGACCAAGTTACGGCATCCACTGGCGTACGGAAAGATCTGCAAGCCATTATGCAAAGGCACGTTAACGACAGAGTTAAGTTAGTACAATTAGATTATCGGCCTGCGTAATCAATAAACACACAGAAATTTGGCTGAGTTTCGTAAAAAAAAAAAAAAAATTGCGGCCCAACGTGACAAATGTACGTGACTGCTGGTCGTGCACGTACACTTGTTGATATGTTTCCTTCTGGGCAACAAGCCGATTATGGCTGTAAACTTCTGGCAGGTGTGGTTGGAATGTAATGACCAGATTCCTTGCACCTTAGCCGCATCAATCTCCAAAAAGTGGCTCAACTGGACAAGCACCTAATACATTGCGATACTCGTCTCGGATATTCTTCCACTCTGGTTCGTATTCGCTGAGGAGGCGGAAATGGCTGTTTCCCTCTGTGTTTCTGCCGAAAAGGAAGTTGTTCGTGATTGAGTCGCCTCCATAGGCAAAGTCTCCGAATGCCATGCGAAGCGGCAAAACTCATTCCGCATTCTATGCCGAAGCCATGCCTCGTGTTTTACAGTCCGCGTCCTCCATCTCGGTAGGTAGACTTGTGACGCTCGAGTCAGTCCAGGGCAAAGACTCCATACTATCATGCGAAGCCACGGTTCCTTGTCTCGAGGTACGATCCTGCCCCTCCACGGCCCAGGATGCGTAGTGTTTAAGGTCTGAACCTGACTGGCGGATGCGGAGTACCTTCAAGGAGGTCTTTGACTTGAAGGGAAGCAGCAGGTATTTCTACAGGATGTTGCCATTAGGACTAGTATATGGGGAGATCGCAGACACTCACCAAACATTTAGGGACACAGGTTAGTCCAATGAATTCAAGATTGAGCCAAGCCAAGGGATTCTGCGAAGGGGCTTCTTCTGGCGCAATTCGCATCCGAGAATGGCAAGATCGGATAAGTCATGCTCCTCTTCAAAGTGAGGTGACTCATCATTAATATCGATGGTTCTCTGGTGATGTACCTCAAGACCTCATAGCTGGATTTATTTGAAGCCTGGCTTGCGATCAGGCACGCTATCCTCAACCAGCTGTATGGACTCACTTATTATCAATCTTACTAATAGACTTAAATGCCTCTTAGGCTATTGGGAAGTCTATATAGTGTTATGCGAGGATAGGTTTCATTTAAGGCACTTAGAAAGGTTAACGAATAACGAGAATACTACATAGGGATGACTCCCCCGCATTACGTCCATGCACTAGCAAATTCACTCGATCATACGAATTACCTTGTATTCATAGAATAAAGGAACTACTCGACGTAAAGCAGCCTCTTTCTCTTAGAGAATTCCACACCTAATAGCACTACAAACGCGACGGTCAGCTAATCCATCTTACTGAGCCTTAGCGCATTAAGAGGCGGAAAGAGAATCCCCGGGTTACTGAATCAAGCACGCAGCGATGTTCAAGCGCATTTAAGGCAGTTAATCATCAAAGGCAACCGCTAAAGTGCTCATCGTGTGGAGGCGTTGGGCATACACGAGTCTCAGGTTCATGTCCTAACCATTATCAAGGACTGCTTTCTTAACCAACAGTCGTTAAGCCAGCCTCGGATATAATGACGACATCACAGACTACTACACAGGTAGTAGGACGACTAGATGATCAATTATTATCGCAGCTGCAAGCAGTCAACCAAGCATTATCACTAGCACAGCAAATATTATCAGGTAGGTCATTGCTGCGGGTATCAAGGATGTGGTGGGAGTGTTCGCTTTAGAGCAATGTCGTCTACTTTCGTCCATATGCAAAAAGCATGTAGCGGCCCAAGAGCGGGAGGCGTAATATAATTGTCCTGGTGTGTGGTTGGGGCAGGCTCCCAAAAAATGATCCTGCTGACATCGTAAACTCGTTGGTCCCATTGTCAGAGGCAAGAATCGCTGGGTGCTTGGAGGTTATCCTGCGACCGAGGCCAATCGACCCTGCCACCATTTCCGAAGAGTGTGAGAATAATTTCATAAGTTCCTACACTCAGGATTAGAATGGTGTCATTTCTTCAATATAAAAACTAACCAAACAGTATAGCTGCTCCTGGCACGACTCTCCATAGATGAGCAGGCAACCCACTATATAAACCAATGAGGCCTTCTTGCTTCCGAACGAGCTCGAATGTTTGAATGGGTCCCGTATATCTACGCTTGCCACTCAGAGGCTGTTGTCTGAGGCGGGTTCGCACAACCTAGAGATACTGCCTTAGTCTGCAATCACTTCTGGGAAAGGAGAAGACGACGAGGTGGGGGGGTTATTTTACTTCGTGGGGATAGGCAATGGTTGCGGCAATGAGCTTCGACAAGCCAGCGGCGCCAAGGATTCCAAAACACTCTGAAGGGGAGCTCGGTCCATTCTGCAAACTTCTGGATGGAGATGCGGCCTCTTTAGATGTATCGCAGGCCAGTTTCATTCGCTCATAAAGCATCCACTGCAACACAAACTCCGATACACCCAAATAGCTCAACGTCAACCCTCGGTATAAGCCAGGAACGCCCTCGGACCTGAGGATCTGTTTCGCACAGTCCCACGAGCCCTTATACACTCGTCCTGATCTAGTTGAACGCTCCCGATCAAGCTGGAGCCGAGTCTTGACAACCCATAGTGGATTCGTGCAGGTTTCTGTAGCGATCCCAGAAAGTGCTGCAGCACACATGTGGATGGCTGCTGACTCATGGCCGTGGTTGAAGATTTCGGCAAGGATACGTTTAGTGTTTCCATAAGCGTAGAACCCAATTGCGGTCTCAGGTACAAAGCTCCATAAGTTAGGGGCAAGACCTCTAAAGAGAGTTCGCCATCCCTCACGCCTGTAAATGTTTCTGGATAGATGAGCAAGAGAGTGGTGATTTTTAAGTGTGGTAAAATACTCACTTCAACAACTGAGTGGTCCCTAGACTTGGTGTTTCCGTACCTATTCTGCCTCCTCCGATAAGTTGATGATACAAGTCGCTTTGCAGTCTCGTCTTCACGACGTCGAGAGGGAAAGTAACCGTTGTGGATACGACCGCGCCCGTCCTGGAGGTTTAGATGTCAGATTCTTTCACGTAGCTCGGATTTCCCTCACTTACCCGCCGGCAACGAAGTGAACCCAATGCCTCCTGTCTAGAGACACGTTAGGTTTTTCGGCCTGCATTTGGAACAACTCTACTACAATGCGATGAGTCGAGTAGAGGTCTCCCCCTGTGCAAAAAAAAAGCTTGGTTAGTCTTCGGCTCAAATTCTCCCTTCACACCTTGTCCCCGCTTAAAAGGAGGACTGAAGCTCCGCGGCTCTTGCCATCAATTATAGAAAGGCACCTGACATTATGCTACACAATGCAGTTTCGCGACCTGGGGATGATTGAATGACATTTACCATGTGACAAGCTTAGCGTCAACTTTCTGTTTAGCGGCCGGGCAGATTATGCGCCTAATTACGTAACCAACAGTATGTACGATTTAACGGGAGCTAATAGGCCCACGGGTACCCGTGGCTCTTTTATTATACGGGTCTCCGTGCGTATGACTAAGTACAGTGTTTACGTCGGGTTTTGTTTGGTTAGGCCAAATTTTAACACTGTACGATTTACACGCGCAACCGCGTCTTGACGCGTTAATTGATCAGGGCCAGGCCATAGCACAGTACGGATATGTAATATGAGATCTAATTAATGGAAGCTGTTGTCTCGATCATGTCACCCGCCAAGCTCAACTCAGAGTTGGAAGCGCAAAACTACAACTCGCGGGACTGGTTGCCAATTTTCAGTTTTGGCTAAGAAGTTAAGAGACAAGAGCACTTGGACATTGCGACATCGCCTAGATGCCAGGTTCAGAAAAGATGGGCATACTTGGACTGGAGTAAAGCAGAGGACGAGCGTGTTGAGGCAAAGGTCTTGGAAGAAATAGGAAGCAATCCCATGGGTAGCACGAGAAGAGGTGTGAAAGACATATGGAAAGGAATAGAGGAGGACAGCCGAGCTCAAGAAGCTATTTACTTGATGGAGGACACGACAGAGAATTGTATTGTAGTGTAACCGTAAAAGGATGAGAATTTATTTGGTTCCTTATCTCTCCCAGCTTGGACCTTGGCAGCCGTAGGAATAGCACTGTACTTAGTCATACGCACGGGGACCCGTATAGTAATAGAGCCACGGGTACCCGTGGGCCTATTGGCTCCCCGATTTAACCCCCCAAAAGGTGCCAGAAGGTGCCCGAAATTCGAGGCCGGTACCTTCCATATAATATCAATTGATATTACAGGCACCTTAGTTAGTTGATCGTGATTACCGTAGTAGTTATATGTAATGCTAGCGTAATTAATACTCTATAATTAAGGTTGTAAATTTAATCCCCGTAAATCTCTTTTTATATTATGTGAAAAAAAGCTCTATAAAAAGCTATTAATTAATATCATGTAAATTAGTGATATGTGGTGTAAAGTGTGCATTTTTTTTTAATGTGTGTGGCGGCTTTTAGCACCTTGTGGCACCTTACGGCACCGTGCCAGCATATTACCAGCACCTAGCCGGCACCATACCTCCACCGTGTAAAATTATGGCACCGTGCCATAGGCTTTTATGGTGCCGGCATTATACTAGATTTTTTACACGGTACCAAGGTCTCGTAGTGGCCTACTACTGCCACTCTAGAATCATGTTCCGATCAATTTTAGAGATTGCTAAAGCAATTTGCTTATACCCTGCGCTTTGTTCGTTAAAATAATTCCCTCAACTACACTAGTTCAAAATCTGTGCTTTGTGTAGCAGTTTTACTCGTTTGCTCGTGAGCGTCGAGTTGAACAAGGTCCAAATCTTGCGCAAAAGTATTTGCGCTGTTCGGTATGCTCAAAGAGGTCTGATTCTCCCTTCTCCCGTCTACTCGAACTATTACTTATGCTTATGTCCAACTAGACGTCGCAAAAGACGGACCTTAAACAAAAAAAGGCGAGATCTGAATCTGGAGAATATGTGCGCTTTGCCGCAACTGTGTTCACATGGGACCACGATAGAAATATTTATTGGAAGAGACGACAACCACCGTTAGGTCGCATTATTATCGATAACGAGGCTATAAGCAATGAGGAACTGAACGAGGATAATATTGATGGCAAACTTGTCATTTCAAAGCAAAAGGTGTTTGTGTATGATATGGCGTTCATGTCTAGGCCTGTTAAATGAAGGGCGACATGTGATTCACTATCTGTTGACCACGATCCTCTGGACAATATATTAGTAACTGTGTCACTGTCTCCCTTTTGACAGACCCCCAAATATCTTTACGAAATATATCTTTCTCATTCATATCCGTGAAGTCGGCCCCAACATCTATGCGAAACACAACTGCGTCGTGAAAATGGAGCGCCTGCATTGCAGTCGTTGATTCGGCTTTTCCCCATATTGGGAGACGTCCCAACCGTTCAATAAAGACATCGGAGAAATACTCTCGAAACATCGCCTTGAGAAACTATGCGGTTGTATAAGTGGCCACCTGTTGGATTGTCCCGCTCATCCCTCTTGATGAGAAAGCAGGTGTAATCTTCTGGTTTTTTGACTGCTCATATTCCTCTTTTGCCGTGTAATAGACTGACCCAAACGTGTTGTCCCTGCTCCGATTATAATGCTCCAAGCGCCTGAATATTTCTTTTCGATTTAGGCAAGAAATATGTTGTGAGCACATGTAATCTCGAAGTTTCGATGCTCGGAACGAGTCGTTTATTACTTTCAGACCCCTTGCTTCGAAGCAAATAGAAGCAAATCCCAGTTCCTCGAGTGTTAATTTGGAAACTTCTGCATGAAAGCTGCTTTCCTTGTTCACCTCAGCGATAAACACATGACATTTATCAAGAGTGTTGGAGTTTAGCTCAGTGTAAGAGTTCAGGAACTTCTTAGCTTTTTCATACCGCTTGACGAATTCTACCTCCATTCGTAGCCTCTCAATCTGTGCCTGGACTTTCGCAAGGCAATCGGGCTGTCAGAAGAGATCGATGTCAACATTCGGCAAGACGGCCATAGTCGTATTAAATAGTAGTCGGCGTGGTATTTCGTGGTTGGCGTGTAAAGGGTTGGCGTGTAAAGGGTTGGCGCGTAAAGGGTTGGCGTGAAATTGGGTGGTTGTGAAAATTGGCTGGATTGAAATGGGTCATCTGGTTGAATTGAAACCGGCGGTATGAAATGGATTGGTGTGAAAGTCAATCGCTCGGGGCGCTCATCCATTTTACTCGGGGCGCTTGATACCCCACCACGCCTTAATTTTAGTCTAGCGGCCCTAATTCTAGACCCCACAGTACATTTTCAGTTTAAATGCATGGCAGTAAATGTTAATTGCTTGGGGCGCTTATTTATTTTACTTAAGGCGCTTACGCCTTAATTTTTCTATTATTAACTTAACTATTAAACTTTATAATATATTTTTAATATAAATATATAATAGCTTTACTTAATATTAAAAAGCTTTATTAAAAATTAATAGATTTTTAATAAAGCTATAATTATATAAATTTTTTAATAAGTAATAGTTATATAAATTTTTTTAATAAGTAATAGCGTTTTTTTTTCTTTAATATTATAAAGTAAAAATTTAACTTAAAAGTGTATAATAGCTTAAAAAAATTATGTAAATTATATAAGTACCTTATTATTTAATTAAGAGTATTTACTACTATATATTTAAACTAAAAATATACTATAGAGTCTAAAATTAAAGCTATTAAACTAAAATTAAAGCGTAGTAGATATTAAGCGCCTTAAGTAAAATAAATAAGCGTCTCGAGTAGTGTTAGGGTAAACCTAGGATATAGGACGATTAGGTAAGGAATTAGGAAAGAACTCTATTCTTAGGTCTCCTAATAATATAAGACTAAAACTTATTTAAATTATTTAATATTTAGATTAATTCTTTTATACTTATTGATTAAGGGTTTTAGCTCTAATTCGTGTTTACTTCTCACGTAATAATACTTATAGGCTTTAAACTAGAATTAGTAGGGATTCGTACCCTATTTTAGGATATAAGCGAACCTAATTTAGTCTCTCTTTATAGGTGACTTTATATACGCGTTACAATTATCCCCCTCTTCTAGTATAATTGTCTCTAATTATCGTTAATATAGGTAGGCTTTAAAGGTGTATTATTCTCGTTAAAACCTAGTAAGAAAAAAGAGTAATAATATTAACCTCTTTAGGTTCTTATAGTTTTATTTCTATTCTTATATTTTAAGGCGCTATTTTAGAGTCTTACGCCTTTATTTTATTAGGTTATACTCGTTACTTTTAGTCGCTTAATTGTAACGTTTTATCCTACTAATACGTGTTACTTTTACTTATTTTTATTCTTAATAGAGCTCTTAATTAAGATCTAGTATTTTTTAGGGAAGAGCTTTATAGGTTCTTTCCTTTATCTTAATAGGTGTAATTATCTTAAGGGCTAACTTATAGATTTAAGGTAAGGGTAATTACGAGTTTATTCTAGTATAAATTTTTAGTTTTATCCCTTATTTTTTCTTTCTTATTTTAGCCTTATCTCCCTTCTCTATTTCCCTTCTCTTTTTCTCTTAGTAGCTTTATTTCTTATTATTTAAGTATAAATCCTTTTTTCTAGCCTCTATATATTCTATATTCTTATTATACTTAGCTATTACCTAATATTTACGCCTACAATTCATGTATATTTCTTAGCTTATAAATTATAGTAATACTTATTAGGCTTAAATTTTAGATATACACTTAATATAGCGCTTTATTTACATTTTCCCCTAGTATAGTAAAGCGTTAACGTTATAAGTCGTGTTTTTAACTTAAAGTTATATTAACGTTATAATTAATTAATCGTTTTATTACTAGGTTAATAATAGTTTATTTAGGTATATTAAACTAAAATGTATTTTATTATAGTTAGTAAAACTTTAGCGCGAATTATAGGTATATATTTATTAATTTTAACCTATTTCTAGCTTAAATCTTACTATTAATATTATTATTAGGTTTCCTATATTAACTTCTTATTACTTTTAGTTACGTTTTATTTTACCCTTTTAATTATTATATTTAAATACGGCTATTTTAATTCATATAACGTGGTATACTATTAGGGGCCTTCTTATAGCACCTTAACTTAGCTTTCTTTACGCTCTTCTTTACCTTCCCTAATACGTACTTTT